TTTCTTAATTTGCTTTTAAATTCTTACTCCGAAATAGGCCGTAGATACCACTTAAGTGCTCAAGCGATCGTGGAAAACCTGCAGAACTAAATGAAAAATGTTATCCACTACTTAGAAGGATAAGAGCATTCAGACTACTGTACAATAATGTTACTTTTGCGAAAGGGTCGAGCTCAAAGGGTAGTTTTGGACGATCTTTATTAACGATCTCCCAGGTGAAACTGTAGGCGGGATGAGGGTAGCGTTATATGCTGATGACATCAAGCTGCATAAAAACGTCAGCTCCGTCAGCGATTGTCTGTCTCTGCAGACCACTCCAGCAAACGTGAATGACTGGTCATAGGGAAATAACATCAACTTCAACACCTAGAAATGCACAACGCTTACTGTGACGCGGATGAAAACTCCCTTGATTTACGAATACATCCTATACAACACACAACTTGTACGAGTGTCCGCGGAAAACGATCTAGGAGTTACAATTATGGGTACGTTGTCTTGGTACTCTCATATATACACCATCACCGCCAGAGACAACAGGCTCCTTGGGCTCCTAAAGCGGACATGTCCATTACTAACTGACGTGTCTACCCGGCGCGCGCCATACTTATCGCTAGTCAAGTCACAACTCTGCTGCGCTACTCAAGTCTGGTCGCCCGCTCAGGTTTCCCTGAGGGCACAAGTCGAGTGAGTGCAGCGGCGCGCTACCAATGGATCTTACAAACCCGGATTGGCGAGATGTCTTGCAGAGACAGACTTATTACCCTGGACTTACTCCCTCTTACCTACGACAGAGAACTGAAAGACTTGATATTCTTTTATAAGTGCTTATTTAATCATATTCACCTTGATGTATGCATTTGCTTCAATTCCTACCATTTGAATTAACAACCTTTTTAACAACTTTATTTGGTTTATAACATAGTACTAACTACACCTCTAGCTTGTAGCACGAGCAAGTTCTAACTAGTGTCTACGTGCAGGGCTAGTCAATGTCAAAGGACGTTCTCAGAAAAAGTGTTTGTTTGACGAAAAGCTGGAAGGAAATCTAGGTAATCACTCAGTTTTGACACTAAGCTGTATTTACTTAGTAATTTCTCTGTGTCCTAATACAGTGTGAATTAGTAATCATGAATCACTAGTCATCTTTTCTCGCGTTTTTCATCCATTAAAGAGAAAGCTCAAAAGTCTGATTGGACATAAGATCTAACGGGTAACTTTTTGAACTTTTTGAAGAACATTCTTTTACCAAAGAGACGACTTAGAAAAGAGGTCACTTACAAGGTAAAGACCTTTAGCAGTTAAAAAATCCTTTTAAATATGGGAATGGTAGTTAATCATGGCTAAGAGGGTGCTGGTGTTTATTAAAAAAAGGTACAGAGAAAACTTTGCACGTTTTTGAAAACTTACCCTAATTCCCGATTTATGTGCTGTACACCCCAGTTTTATCTGAAGATTGCTTAGTCTTGGTTCACTCGTGGGTGGTGCGTAACGCTTGGAAGTTCTTTTTTTTGTTATGGTATATGGTGTTAAGATAAACAGCGTAACTATAAACCGATTGGAAAACCTTAAATGTGTTTCTGGTAAAATAACTTGGGATGAAATATGATTTAAAATCAGAGAAGTATCAAAGGAAATCCCTGACATCCTACTCCAATTTGAATGCCGGCCCCCTCCTAGCCATGATTATCGAATAGTGACAACCCAAATGATGTGTGGAAGTGTGAGCTCTTTAACCGACATCAAACCCTTTCCAATCGGAGATCTTACTATTCACAAGTCCTTTCGAGATTTTATAGAGATAACTCTCTATTAAATAAAAGTAATGAGCTCTGATCTTACACGAGCCTTACCAATCTCCCTGCTAAAGGTTCTTTGAAAAACAATTTTCAAGCTTTGGTACGTCGTAAAAAAAGAGCACTCCATGAATGGATCAATGAATGCATGAATTCTAAGTATTTTAGCATGTTAATGAATTATTCTAAACGATGACGCCCATGTGTTTCTAACAGCTGCCCTGTCATTCTTTTCAACTTGTAGTGAACCTGCGGTATGATGGAGGGTGAACGGCGAAACATGCTAAGAAACCGACAGCGTGGAAATTTTGGTTGTTTTGTGATATGAGTTATGATCATTTCTAAATAAAATGAAGACAGTTAATAAAAAAGATGTTTTTACTTTTTTGATTCTCATTTCGATGATATAGACTCAGGATAATTTCCTACGAGCTCGCAACGGTCTGTTGATTAAAAAAATCTGTTCTGAAGGCCTCTGAAAAGCCCAGACTCCACCATTTCGTGTTGTGAAGAGACAGATACATTTTTCATGATATTTTCATATCTGGCATGAAACCAAAGCGTATAGGAGAAAATCAAAATGGAGGTTGTACTTAAAATCTACCCATAATAAACTTGAACTGTTCGCGGACAATGTGAACGCTATGATAGAAATGGATCGCAATAAAAACGCTTCAGTACATAAATGATTCTTGATTTTCTAAGACCTACATTGTTAAGAGTTTGCAATATATTACCACTGGTTTAAAATTAACTGGTATTTTCTGAGTGTTCACTGAGTGAGTGTTACAGTAGTAAGGTAATACCTTTGCAAATTTTTGACATTCTACCAAACTTGAGAGCCGGCTTCATGCAGAGAGGCTAATTACTCCAAAGTTATGAGATGAGTACATTTGTCAGAGTGCAGCAAAATGCACAATAGAATTTGGATCCAGTAATTTCATTGGCTAAGAGCAATTTAAGACGACCCTTTAAGCGATTCTAGATATGGTGTGAGCTTGGTCATGATTGCATCATCCCTTGATATTCTTCTGATTTTGTGATTTTTTACTACAAAGCAATGTGCAGTGAATTCGCTTTTTTCAGTCTTTGGCTAACACTACGAACTGAATCGCCGCAGCAGCTATTTTATTTAACGCACGCGAATTGTAACAAGTACGTGAAGCAGAAAACAGTAGACCAGGGGCGGATCCAGGAATTTCTGAAAGGGGGGGTTGTACACTACTGAAGTAACCTTGAATACCAATGGTGTGGAAGGCGAGTGACGGCCCCTGCCTCTGGCGCGATCTCTTGAGCAGGTCGGGAGCCATACCCCTCCCCCCAAAACATAATGTTTACGATTTTTCCCTCTAAAATGCCATTAGCAGAATTCCTGAGACTTAAAAAGCGTTGTAAAGGCATGATATAAAATCTGGAATTTACTTTATTTCTCATTCAGAAACCCAAAAATAATAATGCATGATTGAAAGGGACGGCAGTATCAACAATAGTTATTTGAACCTTAACGTACCTCAATCAAACAACGTAGCCTGAAATAGTCTTCTAGGGTGAGCTTTTACAAAAGCCTCGCAGATCTCGTCTACTTCGAATCTCTCCGGGTAATGCATGGCGATCACGGCGAGATCTGAGAAGCGCTCTTCAGACATCGTTGATCTGGTGCAGGTCTTGATCCGTTTCATGAGTGAAAAGGACCGCTCAGCTTCCGCACTACTGATTGGTAGGGTGCATGCAATTAGAAGAAGACGATGGATGTTTGGAAAAGTATCCTCGTCACACGCACCAAGTGCTAATAGAAGATTGTTTGGAAGTTCCTTCTCTGCTGACTGCCACATAGTTTGCCATCGTCGCACCTCATTTCCAAGGGATTTGGGAAATGGATGGTCATTCTCCCAGAACAACATGCCTTTTGCTGCTTCAGATAGCTCCTGGGAGTTATTAACTATGATTGAGGGTACTAGATAAAGCAAGTGACGGGCGTGGCGATCCTCGCCAGAAAATCGGTCTTGCATTTGAATAATCAGGGAATCAAGAAGGGGAATAGCCACAGATTTTTTGTAATGGTCAATTGGAGTAGAACTGGGAATGTTTGAGCGATTCCTCTGTATGCTAGTCTTTCTGGGTACAGTTTCAACGATTCCTAGTTTCCCAGAAAGGTCTAACATTTCTTTGTACCAGACTTGAAAGTCAACGTCAATGTTTTTTCTAGCAGAGTTAATGTTTCCAATTACTTCGTCAACCATCGTGTAAGCTTCAAAAATATCTTGATTTTGTTTCTGCAGCTTTGATGCAAGAGCTTTAACTTCATCAAGAATATTCTTGGTTGTAATGAAAACCACTACAGTCTGGAATGTCAACAAAGAGGCTTTCAGTCCCTGGGCTTTTGTGATAGTATCTTTGTCCCAATTCCAGCTTCCAGTAGACGATTTCAAATGTGGGTACTCGTGGGGGGAAATAACTGCATCTAGAAAGGTGACAAGGAGCTCATACATTTCCAGGAAAACATCTAGGCACGTGTGTCTTTCCACCCAGCGTGTCTTGCAAAGACCTGGAAGCTTGCTGTGAGAATTCTTAGGCAGGTATTCTTTCAGTGTCAACTCGAACAGCTGCTGCCGCTTTGGGCTGTTATTTAAAAATAGATATGCCTCGTTAATCAGGCCTATCAAATTTCGCACTTCTGGCAGTTTGCATGTTGCTGCGATGGAGAGGTTCAGGCAGTGAGCATAGCAATGCGTGTAAAGAGCTAACGGACTGGTCTCTTTTATCTTCGCCTGCACTCCTTCCTTTCCACTTGACATAACGGAGGCTCCATCATATGCCTGACCACGGATGTTGCTAGGATCCAAAGAAATAGATGGGTCAGAGAGAGATTCCAAAATCTTTCTTGAAATCATGGCGGCATTTGTTCGTTCCAAGTGCATGAAACTAATTAGGCATTCTTTGACATGAGGATCGTTTGGCGTTGACTGGTCCACAAACCTCAAGCGTAAAGTTAAGATTTCCCGGTTTGAGTGTGGATCCGCACACTCATCTGCTATAATCGTGAAAGGAAGGTCCTTGGTCCTTAGGTCTTTTGTCAGCCTTTCCTTAATTTTTGACGCATACACGTGAATGACATCATTCTGGATAGTTTTGCTAGTATATCTTGCTTGTCTGTTTGATGACAAGAGGTGCTTCTGAAGAGAGTCGTTTCCTTTCGCCAGTAATTGTAGCAGGGCAACAAAGTTTCCTCTGTTAATTTCATAACTAGAAAAATCAACACGATCATCACGATGACCTCTAAAGGCCAGACTCTGCTTTGCCAGAAACTCTACAGCCAAAACAATCTGTCGTAGAATTTCTTTGTTCTCAGTGGCTTGATTGGCTACGGACGTCGCCAGCTGGGAATCTACTCTACACCTGTCAGGATTCTCAAAAGTTTGTTTGAAGAGGTCTGCCTGTTCAGTTGCATATTTATGCATCACAGATTGCTCATGACAGTTGAGGATGCCATCCTTGCCAAGTGCCTTAGTGTACGATTTCTGGTATGGTGCTGTGACCAATACACCTGGTGTTGTTCCCTTGGTAACTTTGTGAGGGAATAAGATACAGTGACTACAAATACCACCTTCAAGTAAGTTACTGTAGCAAAGCCAGGGAAACTGTTTTAGCCATTTGGATTGAAAAGAAACTTTCCACGTCTTCTTTCCTTTGGTAACTTGATGAGAATGAAGTATATCGGACTCAGAAGGCTTCCAGTGAAACGTAAGGTATTGCATTCTTTTTTCATCTGTAATTTCCTGCGATAATCGCTTCAAAATACCCCACGAGCCTTCAGCAGCTTTCACAACAGTATCCAAATCGATCTTTGTGCCTGTGGTTGAACCAGAAGTGGCAGCCACAGGGCCTTTTGTAACTACATCTAAAATTTATAAAAACAACTATTTGTATACATTCATAACCCCTAATATGTTAGTCCCTTACCTACTTCAAATAACCTCAATAAAAATTGAACACACACTTTTTATTTGACAAAATTTCAATTGACAATATTTGAAGTTGTCATACACACAAATTAAAAAAAAAAATACCATAGCCTGCTGATACAAAATGTCTTGGTTAGACCTTCAGTAAATGTTATAATAAACTATTTTCTATAACACAACACTGTTATGCCACCGTGTTATATAACATATTTTTACTCTTAGCGGCAAACAAAACTAACGTCATATTCTTCCCCTAGAGCATAGATATGTTCTTTATCTTCAGAACTGCAAGATATTTCAAAAAACTGAAGGTGATTCAATTTTTGCAAAATCAGTCTTATGTCTTCCCTCGCAAGGCTTACACCAACCAGGCACAGAACATTCAATAAGCATAAAGAGGCAGTAATTGTTGCCACTTGATTGGCAGTGAATCCTACTCGGTTGAGCGATAATATTCTAAGATTTCTTAATTGCTTTAAAATAGCAGTACAACAACAGGTATCTATTTTTTGACAGTCATTAAGGATCAAGGTTTCAAGAGGAGAGGACTCAATCAATAGGAAATTAAGGGATGATATCGGTTGTCCACTTAAATCCAAATATCTCAAATGTTTAGAAAATTCTATACTATTTCCTAGTAATGCTTCCAGATCATTTCGGATGTTGTCATTTCGATATATCTTAAGGATAAATATCTGAACCCACTGGAGTGTGACATGATGTTCATAAATTGTTCTTCACTTAAATATGTTATGTGCCACTCATCAAGAAGGAGGCAACTCCACAGAATGTTGTTATTGTTTACAATGTGCCTCCACCTTCGTGAGACCAGGCACAATGTTTTAAGCATTTCTTTAAGGGAGAAGTTTTTAAACACCTCGACCAATACCTCATCAGGCAAAGCTGTGTACAAAACGAAATTAATACTAGTCAGTTTTACTTGGAATTCTCCAGACTTCTTGCATCATTTGAATAAATACTTTTTTTCTCGGACTGGTCAATATAAGTTTAACATTCAGATAAAAAAAAAATTAAAATTTTCTACCTTCGATCCCGGACACTCCAGCTTGATCGTCTGGGTTGCTGAGTTTTGGCAGCTTGTTCGGAGGAGCAGAACAGCTTCTTTCTGTATTTATCATGACAGTTCATTTAGAGAAGTATTAATTAAGTCTTAATATCATGATAAATTTTAATGTATCTGCCTCGGTTTAATGACAATTTTATTTCTGCTTACCTTCGTTAATACCTTCATTATTACTCGCAGATTCTTCAGACCTTGATTCGTCAGTCGCTGAATCTGCAAAATGTTTATATTTGAAAGGAATGATTATCTCGCCAGCCAGTTGGCAAGATGGCGGCGTGATGGAAAACGCATGCACTTTGTTTATAAATTACACGGTATGTCGAGGATGCTGGCTGTTGAAAACAGTTTTTGGTGTTATAGAATTAAATTAAACTACTTCTTTTGAAAAAGAACCACGAACTTACCTGATTTCTTTGCATAAAAGTCTGTTATTTTCTTCATTTTCCGTCAAACGTTGTACTCACTTCAACGATACTCAAGCATTCGGTCGGTCTCAATCCCCCTCGTTTACTTTTCAATGAATGTCACCTGTTCACGTCGCCTGTTTTAATATACCTGAACCTGATACGACCTTTGCGAAATGTACATTATCTTTTCATAACTTGACAAGCAGTCGAATGGTAAAAGTGAAATAACTTCGTAAAAACAATTTTATTCTATTATTTGTAGGAAGAATCAAGCATAATAACAATAACAAAAAAAAGCTGCTGAAAGGGGGGGTTGCAACCCCCTCAACCCCTCCCCTGGATCCGCCTCTGTAGACTCATCTTTTTCTAGCAAAATCATTGTTGCCACAACGTCCAACCCAATCCCAATGTCGTCTCAAACCAACAGCCTTAACGTTCGCTCAATTAAAAAACATAGACATCCACCCAATCTAACAGCAAAAACATTCGGCGCTCGATTTAATTATCCATCTATCATAGCAAGACGTTGTGGTAGGTATTCTAACAACTTCATGCCCCTTGCTTATCATTTTCTGAATGCAAAGGTTGATATTAAGGATTGCAGAATAAACCAACTCCTTACACTGTGGTTAAGTTTGAGTTTGGACTAAAACAGCTCAGCTCTGTATAGCTGTACGCAGCCCTACTTAGATGTGAATAGCCCCGTATAAAAACAACTAATTAAAACTCGTTACCCCCCGAAGCAGCACCACTTTTATGGCTGTGAATAGCCCTGTATAGCTCTGTATAGCTCTGTATAACTGTGTATAGCCCTGTATAGCTGTGTATGGCTCTGTATAGTTGTGTATATCTCTGTATAGCTGTGTATAGCTCTGTATAGCTGTGTATATCTCTGTAAAGCTGTTTTAGCCATTTGGATTGAAAAGAAACTTTCCACGTCTTCTTTCCTTTGGTAACTTGATGAGAATGAAGTATATCGGACTCAGAAGGCTTCCAGTGAAACGTAAGGTATTGCATTCTTTTTTCATCTGTAATTTCCTGCGATAATCGCTTCAAAATACCCCACGAGCCTTCAGCAGCTTTCACAACAGTATCCAAATCGATCTTTGTGCCTGTGGTTGAACCAGAAGTGGCAGCCACAGGGCCTTTTGTAACTACATCTAAAATTTATAAAAACAACTATTTGTATACATTCATAACCCCTAATATGTTAGTCCCTTACCTACTTCAAATAACCTCAATAAAAATTGAACACACACTTTTTATTTGACAAAATTTCAATTGACAATATTTGAAGTTGTCATACACACAAATTAAAAAAAAAAAAATACCATAGCCTGCTGATACAAAATGTCTTGGTTAGACCTTCAGTAAATGTTATAATAAACTATTTTCTATAACACAACACTGTTATGCCACCGTGTTATATAACATATTTTTACTCTTAGCGGCAAACAAAACTAACGTCATATTCTTCCCCTAGAGCATAGATATGTTCTTTATCTTCAGAACTGCAAGATATTTCAAAAAACTGAAGGTGATTCAATTTTTGCAAAATCAGTCTTATGTCTTCCCTCGCAAGGCTTACACCAACCAGGCACAGAACATTCAATAAGCATAAAGAGGCAGTAATTGTTGCCACTTGATTGGCAGTGAATCCTACTCGGTTGAGCGATAATATTCTAAGATTTCTTAATTGCTTTAAAATAGCAGTACAACAACAGGTATCTATTTTTTGACAGTCATTAAGGATCAAGGTTTCAAGAGGAGAGGACTCAATCAATAGGAAATTAAGGGATGATATCGGTTGTCCACTTAAATCCAAATATCTCAAATGTTTAGAAAATTCTATACTATTTCCTAGTAATGCTTCCAGATCATTTCGGATGTTGTCATTTCGATATATCTTAAGGATAAATATCTGAACCCACTGGAGTGTGACATGATGTTCATAAATTGTTCTTCACTTAAATATGTTATGTGCCACTCATCAAGAAGGAGGCAACTCCACAGAATGTTGTTATTGTTTACAATGTGCCTCCACCTTCGTGAGACCAGGCACAATGTTTTAAGCATTTCTTTAAGGGAGAAGTTTTTAAACACCTCGACCAATATCTCATCAGGCAAAGCTGTGTACAAAACGAAATTAATACTAGTCAGTTTTACTTGGAATTCTCCAGACTTCTTGCATCATTTGAATAAATACTTTTTTTCTCGGACTGGTCAATATAAGTTTAACATTCAGATAAAAAAAAAATTAAAATTTTCTACCTTCGATCCCGGACACTCCAGCTTGATCGTCTGGGTTGCTGAGTTTTGGCAGCTTGTTCGGAGGAGCAGAACAGCTTCTTTCTGTATTTATCATGACAGTTCATTTAGAGAAGTATTAATTAAGTCTTAATATCATGATAAATTTTAATGTATCTGCCTCGGTTTAATGACAATTTTATTTCTGCTTACCTTCGTTAATACCTTCATTATTACTCGCAGATTCTTCAGACCTTGATTCGTCAGTCGCTGAATCTGCAAAATGTTTATATTTGAAAGGAATGATTATCTCGCCAGCCAGTTGGCAAGATGGCGGCGTGATGGAAAACGCATGCACTTTGTTTATAAATTACACGGTATGTCGAGGATGCTGGCTGTTGAAAACAGTTTTTGGTGTTATAGAATTAAATTAAACTACTTCTTTTGAAAAAGAACCACGAACTTACCTGATTTCTTTGCATAAAAGTCTGTTATTTTCTTCAT